GTCAGAAACGGAGAAGAAAACTGTATATAACCCAAAAGTTTGTAACAGTACGAGGAACAATACTTCGGTTTTGTTGTTTCTTGCGGGAAACAAGACTTCGGCTTTATTGTTCCTTGCATGCAATAAACTCATCTGTTTTACTTCATCTCGGGATCAAGAACCTTATTTCTTCTGTTACAACACACCCCTAGTCTTTTCAAGAAACGGCCTGGGATTTTTAATGACCACAGAGAGTCAGGACCTCAGTTTTACGTCTCATCCAAAGGACGGCGCCTTTTTTACAGTATAGTGTCCCCCTCACTATACTGGGGCATTAGGACCCACACAGACCGCAGGGTGAACGCCACCTGCTGGCCTCACTAACACCTCTTCCAGCAGCAACCTTAATTTTTCCCAGGAGGTCTCCCATCCAGGTACTGACCAGGCTCACACCAGGGAGCTTCAGTGGGTTGCCAGCTGTGAGTTTCAGAGTGATATGGCTGCTTGCCATAATGATACTTATATTTATAAAGTATATAAAGGGTTAATTGAAGAAGCTTTCAGAAGCACGGAGTGTTAACAGAAAAAAAAACTCGTGTGTAACAGTGTTGTGAGTTCAGTGGAATGTAGGTTCAGTGTGGGGAACTGTCCTGTTCAGTTGTGTGCGTGTTACAGAGTGTGAGACAGTTTTTAAACAGCACAGTGTAACATCACCTGTAATGAGTGTAAAGATGTACGAGGCTGAGAGGAAGATCCACGATACCAGGTGCAGTTCTCCTGCAAGAACCTCTGGAAACGCTCCCATATTTTTACTAACTTTTTACATAAAAAAACCTTTAAAAAGGAATCCCACGTGAGTTTATTTTCTGCGCGCGTCTATGACTACAGGCCTAACCGGAAAGTACCTGTGGACGTTACCAATGCCAGACTGTGTGGGTGCAGACACCCGCAGGAAGTCGCTCAGGGGGGTTATGGGAATTGTAGTTCGTAACTAGTAGCTATTGCCTGCTATGGAGAAGCGTTCAGACAGGTTAACATTTAGAGCGAACTACTTGCCTCTTTGAACTTATTTAAAACAGCCGTGGGTGAAAATACCAGGCTCATATAACTGGTGTGATAACGAAATACAAAATGAGGTATAAATAAATATTTATATATAAACTACAGGCTCAAAGAAGCTTAAAAAAGGTGGAAGTGATATTAGAAAACATAGTTCACACTGACGAAGTTTACTCGTATTTAATAGTTTCGTTTTAATAAATTCCCCTGTTTCTTTGGTAAGTCCAGGTTTTACTGCTCATTTCAATGAGTTTTCATTCTTTAGATTTCATTAGTGTGAAAGACGCGATCCTGTACTGGATACAGCACATAGATACTGGACGGACCTCTGTTCACGACTGAAGACACTCAGTATAAAGAGTTAATTAACTGTAATTAATGTAATAAGTCCCGGTGTTGGAGTTACTGTAACTGATAACAACACAGACAGTATTATATTAGTGAGAGTAACAGTAATAGAGAGGAGATTAAACCGTTTTATAACAAAATTAGATATCGCCCTACTAATACATTTCTGTATTATTTAAAAATGTTTTATTGAGAGTGAAGTAATGGGACACTTTGATCAGAAAGTGTTGCTGTAAAAAGTTCCCGGTTTTTATACTCGTCCAGAGACTCTCCCCGCTCTGACCTCTCCTCCAGGTCGCTTCTAATGTGTCTGTTCTGGCGGGTTTCTGTCTAAAAACACGTTACAGGACTCCCGTCTCATGTGGAGACACATGTAGGGTCGTGTCAGGGCAGAAGTCCCACATTGTAAACCAGTTTAAACTGGGACTGGGTACAACCCGGATCAAGACAAGAACTGAGAGATTCATCAAGCAGTTTCAGGACTCTCTCCCACTGGTGTCCTTTTCTATCTCTCTGTCCTGTTTCCTAAAAAAGCCCACTAATACCCCGTGTAGGAAAGAAGACTCGCTCATCACTCCTATTCTGTCCCGGTGTCGCAGTAACTGGGACTGAAGCAAACAGAGAGGAGACGCACTTCCAGAACTTTCCTTCCCGCTCGGTTATTCCAGCTGAGCCCCAGACAGACTTTTCCCCTCCTGAGGAAAGAACATCTTCCCACACAAACAAGCCATTTCTCTCAGAGACACCGGCAGCCCACAACACACACAGCACAGGGAGCATTTTCACCAGCTGCGGCGCCACACGGACACCAGGAATTCGAGCATTGTGTTGGTGCTCAAGGTGCACACTGTGGGGGGTCTCGTTTTTCTTTGAAATCCAGCATGGAAATGACTGAACGACTCGCTTGATGAACTAACCAAAATAAAAAGGTCGCCTACTAAATGCCTACAGCTCATCTGTATTCAAAACAGGTCTCCATCTCGAACGCTGTAATGAACAGCATACGGACACACCCCGACAGTTTGGAGCCAAGCCATATACATGTGAGTGGTGCGCTACCACTATGAAGAATTCCCATCTGGGACACCGTTCCTTTTCAAACCAGGACTCCAGTGTCTGTCACCAGCTTGTGTCAGCACAGGGGGTGATTTGATCTTTCCCTGCAGATAAACGCCCGCGTGCACGATGATGAAAAGGGTGGTGGTGGTGGTGACGACGACGATGTGCAGAACTCCGGCTCTCTGGGCTGCCGGTGAAGGAGGAGGAGGAAGGTGAGTGGACCCACCCAAACTGGGACCGAGCCAAGGACTCGGCAGATACGATTACTGCTGCTGGTACTAATCACAATCATGCGTTTCCTTATTAACATGAGACACAGAGGAGGCCTCTCAGCCCTCGAGCTGGTTTGGTAATTAGTAGGTGACTGAACCTTCACCCAGGTGTGTCTGGAGAGAAGCCAGGGTATCGGCTTCAACTACAGGGCTGGGCAGCTTGTGTCCCACCCCCACTACCCTTTGTGTAAAGAAGCACCTCCTGTCCTGACTAGAGGAGCTCACCCAGCTGTCTGGAGAGAAGCCAGGGTAGTGGCTAACTGTTGTTTCCGTTTCTGGGTGATATTGTGTGATGACAGTGTCCGGGGGTTTCAGTGGAAGTGATTGAAGAGCTGGGCAGGAGAAAAGAAAGCAGAAAGCTGCTGTCAAAGTGGTTTCTTATCCAGGTATTTTGTCATTTTTGTTATCAAATAATATTATTTTGTATTTCCAGATATTTTATTTCTGGAGCGCATATTTAGTTCAGCTCAGAGGCGGAGAAGTGTTATGAGACATAAATATTCCATCCACAGGCGACAGGATCAGAGTATTCCAGATGATTCCTGAGCTACACCGACAGTCTTTGCCAGTACTGTACGTGTAAAACCTTGCTTTTTTTCATTACAGCAGAAACAGCAGCTATATCCCCCTGCAGCTTCCAGCTGGCAGCCCCACTGGAGCTCAGCAGGTGTGAGCCTGGCCAGTACCTGGATGGGAGACCTCCTGGGAAAAACTGAGGTTGCTGGTGGAAGAGGTGTTAGTGGGGCCAGCAGGGGGTGCTCACCCTGCAGTCTGTGTGGGTCCTAATGCCCCAGTATAGTGACAGGGACACTATACTGTAAACAGGTGCCGTCCTTCGGATGAGACACAAAACTGAGGTCCTGAGTCACTGTACTCATTTAAAATCCCAGGGTGTTTCTGGAAAATAGTAGGGGTGTTACCCCAGTGTCCTGGCCAAACTTCCCCCTGGTCTTTAACAAACCATGCAATAAGGGCCTCCTAATAACTCCCATCTCTGAACTGGCTTCATCACTCTGCTCTGCACACTGGTGGGGCTGGAGGGGATCCGCATGACCCATAAAGAGCTTTGAGTGGAGTGTCCAGAAAAGCGCTATTTAAGTTTAAGGAATTATTTTTATTACAGGTTATTACAGATCAACCACATGGATTCTGTTGCTGATTCTGTCATCAGGTGAGTCAGCTTTTGGGGAGCCCTGTACTAACTGGCCCAGGGACACGGACTCCTGGACTAACTGGACCCAGACTACTTCTCTAACTGGATTGAGGTTCTTCAGGACCAGGGTTGGAGGCCCCTTATTTAGATGAACCTCATCCTCTTTCCTGTTGGCTGATGGGACAGTGCAAGTGTCTGTGAGCACATCAGCTCCAGATTGGATGTACTATTGGATATACTGGGTGCAGTGGTTAGTGGTGTCCCGGTTTCCTCTGACAAGCCCAGACGCACGCTGGTGGGTGGAATTTGTTTCTGGCTGTGAGTGTGTGTCCCAGCTGTGTGTGTCTGCCCCAGTGTGTGCCTGGCATCCCGTGCGGTTTGTACCCTGTTGCATGCTGGGATGGGCAACTCTGAATTGAACTGGAAATAGTGATCAGAAAACGGAGGGATGGGATTGAATTTATTCCGAAATTCCCTCACATGTTCTTGCTTTTTTTCCCCCCCATTGCCCAGTCTCATGTCGCGGTGACTGCAAAATTCGGGGATTCGGTCACTCTGCCCTGCAACGGAGAACCCTACAACCTTGGGATCCCCAAACGCAAACTCCACGTTTTCTGGAAAACCCTTGATTACCGCATCTATGAGTTCATGGGCGGGAAGGGCTATCCTGACAACGGGTTCGAGAACAGAGCTGAGATGTCCCGAGAGAAGATCAGCCGCGGGGATTTATCTCTGACCGTCTACCACATCACCTTCTCTGATGGCCAGATCTACGCGTGTTACCTCCTAACAGGGAGCAGACGCTTGCTTCTGAGTGTGGACCTTGTCATTTTAGGTCATTTTTTACAAGGACGGGGATTACAAATATAGAAAGCACTGAGCGGGGATAATCAATAATTAAATTGACCATCAGAACTCCCAAATTGTGTTGCCAGGAATATAGCTGAATGGTCGGTATAGTTAGAGGCACCGGAGATCTTTATTCTTTGGCACAGTTTCGGCAAGGGAGCAATAAATCGGAGGCCAACTGGGTTGATCACACATTTCTGAAGAATGACAATGACACCAAAAACTAAACAACACAACAGACGACATGTATGTGGCCCTAATTCAAAGACAAGGCATCTCGGAGGTCAGTGTCCTGACCAGCCAGTGAAACCTACGCTACTGCTCAGTGTTGCTGCCCGATTCTCCCTTTGTATAATTCTGGATAAAGCGCATGAGAATCTGGCTCCGTATTTAACTCATCTGGTGCCCAGTAGCAAAGGGAGAACGTTTTTGACCTGTGGATTCCCGATAGAGGAAATCGAGAGTCTCCTAAAATAACAGAACGGGCAAGTTCCCTTGGACATCGGGTCAAATGCTGAGCTGGAATCTGGTCCGTAAGGCTGAGCTAAGGTGGAACTAACGTACAGGTCTCATAACTCTGCGTGCACAGGGTTCGGAATGTAAGTATGACGCCCGGCTGTCATCTGTGAGTTAAACGTTTTCTGGAAACATTGGTTGAGTAAAAATTCCTCTCACCCTGTAGAAGAAGAGCCAAGCTCTTCGCTTTATTTCACAGACCTCCGGTGATGGGCTCAGTCCTCACAAAGTGAGCCGCTGTCCCGTCCAAGGAGACAAAGAGAAGCTCTCGACCTGAAATTCTTTGTATCCCAACATGTTCTATGTTTGATGAATCCATCACAAGCTGCTCTGTACGGGATATTAGCAGAGGAGATTCTTCCTGTGTGTTTAAATATCGACTCTGTACAGAATAGCATATTAATTTGTTAGCGTTACTTATGTAGAGGAATTGTAGCTGAGATATTTTCTCATACACTGACACCAGCACCTAGTGGTGATATGAGGCACTGTGGGAGGATCAGTGAGGAAAGGGGAAACATTTTTCCAACATCCTAAAACTGATCGGATGCTCTGATGGCAGTAAATTTGCTTTTTCCCCGAAATAATTCATCTTTTTTTCCAGTTGTCCATTTAACCAAGAACGGTAAGGTTGCTTGCTTAATGATTTTATTGGGGATATGTTTGTTTAAGGGCATTCCAAGATGTCAAAGAAGAATTAAAAGATGTAAAAAGTTAGTATCTCCTTCAGATGAGGACAGACTGGATGAAACAAAATCAACATTTGAAGCGAATTGCAAATGTATTGAGTTGTGATGCAACCATAACTTGAACCTAACGTGACTGGGGTGTGTACTTGTGAAATTGCATTTTTACAGCTGAAATACAAAATGAACCTAATCGCAGTCCAAACACAAGGTATTGTTGTAAAACTAAATATTCAACAGCTTTCTATCTGTCCCTTTTCAGCTCACTCAGAAGTCCACAGCCTACAGCCTGGAGCCTCTCTGTCTCTCCCTCTCCACACTGCTGGTCCTGTGGAGGTGCTGTTTGATTCTGCAGGATCTGCCCAGTCTCGCAGAGTCTTACTGAGCAGCGCAGGGCTCCCTGGCCCCGGGTACGAGCAGAGAGTGTCAGTGCAGAACAGCTCTCTGACACTGCGTTCCTTCACTCCAGTTGATCAGGGCAGCTACACAGTGAGGGACCTTCAGGGAAACACTGTCAGCACTGTGAGTCACTGTGGGAGTTGAGCAGGTCTACAGTAGGGTCACTAAACAGCTCTATATTCTTGACAGAGTGTGTTCTTATATCATCCTCTGTCCTGATTGTCTTTCAGTTCACAGAGTCACTGTCACCCTGCAGCCTGGAGCCTCTCTGTCTGTCCCTCTGTTCACTAGAAAGCCAGTGGAGGTGCTGTTTGACCCTGCAGGAACTGGAGACTCGACGTCAGTGTGTTCTGTCCAGAACAACACAGCCAGCTGTGTCCCCCAGTACAGAGACAGAATGTCAGTGGAGAATCAGGAGCTGAGAATGCAGGACCTGAGGAAATCCGATCAGGGGAACTACACAGTGTTGCTCTCACACATTCAGAAGGCTGTCAGCGTTGTGTCTCTCATTGTGGGAGGTGAGTAAATGCACAGAATGAATTGGGTCGTATTGGAAAGTCTACTGGCACCGAAACAGACCCTTCTCCCCAGTGTCTCCTCTAACTGACACTGACCCTTTCATACAGCTCATACCTGTGTGATAGTCTTACATTCCCATTCAACTAAATACATTAGTGCAGCTCTATAAAAGAACGTATTGCTCACGGTGCCCTCTAGTGGCAGCCTCTAGTCACTGCTGTCCTCACCTGTAATCTGCTGTTACTGTCTGGGAGATTCCAAGGGAGAGTCTCATCCCAAGGTTTACAACCCTAAGGTCAGAGTGCATTGTTACTCATCCTCCACTTCGATCAGCCAATCTGGAACTGGTAGGGCAGGGTAACCCCACGTGGGTCTCGAATGCCCACAAAACATTCAACCAATGAACGACCGTAGTTCCTCCAGATAAAACAGGCAGAATGGGGCTCCTCCAGGACATTCTCAGACTCATCTCGGACAATCACGTAACGGCCAGTGTGTCCAAGTTGCCAGGACTTTACTTTGTTTTAAGAGTCGCCGCGCGTAACCAAAGGATCCGCCGAGGTTAGCCCAGCAGCAAGCCTCGTGAACCCACCGCGATCATTCACCTGATCAACAAGTGAACTACGGTCGGAACTGTGGACAGCTGAATCTCAGGATTCAAGATTAGCACTACATCGGGAACGAACTGGTCTTCTTCCCGTTGAAAGAGTGTGACTTGCTTGGACCCACAGTCACTTTTCATGTGCACAAACTCTGCTAGCAAGCCAGGACTAACTAGCCGGTCTTCAGAGAGCCCACTGCTTGAGCATTGCAGCAGGAATCTCTCCCACCACGTGCACCGGGGCAGAGAGCGCCGACTGGACACAGCAACAAGCCTGTCGCTGTTCCCTTGTGTCCGTCGGCGATCTGAATCCACACAGATTGGATGAGTATTCAACATTCTGCATTACAGCTCGAGAATTCAATTGTTACCTCAACCATAGTGATATCAATTTAATTCCTATGAGTGATGTACTTGCTTTTGAGTATCTAGTGTAGAAGTTGTAATCCAAGTTCATTTAAGAAACGGTCTAAATGAATGGTATACTGAATGTATGTCCCTCTTCGTGATTGAATATATACCTTTTGTTTTCTGCTAACCCTCACTCTTAAGATCTGTTATGTTTATATGCACATTTTAAGTATTAATAAATGTATTGTCGTGTATTAGTATCAGTGTGTGTGCGTTGCTGAGTATCCCACAAGGTTAGTTAATAGCCATCAAAGAATCATTTTGTGACTTACTGCTACAATTAATAATTGTCCCAGTAAATGCACAAAACCCCTACACCGTAAATCTGAGAACGATGATGTGCTCTGTCATGGAGCCTCACCTGTACACTGTGAAGAACTTCCCTCGCAGAGCTGAGATCGTGCAGTGGGCCTACCACACCGAGGAGGAAAGGCACAGAGGTATTGAACTGAACTGGCAGAAATCCTGAAGAGAACTAAAGACAAACTACAAGATTCTACATTCACACTCAGTGACTCTCTAAACTGGCGTGAGGCCAAGATCAAAGCCACCTGTACCATATCCTTCTCCCTGAACCCCCTGCGACAGACTTTAACACAGAACAAAAAGGAAGAAGCAGAGCTGCTGGTACTTTCTATCATCACTGCTCTAGGATACAACTCAAAGAGCAAAATTTTTAGTCATCTTCTGAGCTGGAAAGACATTGACTTTTTAGAGAATGAGCTGCAGAAGGCTTATGACAAGTACTGCTCTCTGACAGAACAAGACCCTATTAGAGCTCAGGCCTACTTAGTGCTGACAGCTCTGTCTGTATCCAGAGACAAACAGTCAGTCTCCTCACAGGACAAGGGAAAGCGACTGCAGTTCCTGAAATCACAGCTGAGGGACAAAATGGCACCTGATGTTTCCTCAGCAATGAGTTCTGCATATGAACACCAGGACTGGGAAAAACTTCAGCAAGAACGAATATTTATTTCTGAAAACAAGGAGAAAATTGGCGAAGAGCTGAAGAATCTAACACAGTGCCAGGAAATTGCTTTCTCAGAGCACAACCAAAGAGGTGATCCGACAGAGTCCTTTGTACAGGATGACCATCACCGAAACACAACGGAAGAACAATTCAGTGAGTCAGTGAAAAATGAAAGAGATGCTTTTCTGAACTTGCTACAAAAACTTGGCCTCAGGGATTCACATCCCAGTAGGCTGAAGAAAACAGATGTGCTCATTATCAACAGTTTGTCATGCAGTGTCACCCAACCTCAAACAGAGAAAGGGCTGTACTTTCACTATCTCTGCAAACTCATGATGTTGGACTACAGTTACAGGACCTTGTTCCTTAAAGATCACAAGACTGACTCTGCTGGCAGTTGTCTGATGAAAGAGAAGTCAATTAATGACACAAAAGGCTGTGATGACTTTTTCAGTCTTGGACTCCAGAGTTCCACTATGTTACGGATTCGGCCAGTGAAACCGAAATCAAGTAGTGAACCCACTTGCGGGAGCCGACAGAGACGAGTCGTGATCCTAATACCTTAGCCGAAGGAGAGAGCCAAGAGTCCAAGGGAAGCCAGTGATCCAAACCGAGAGAGAGTAGCCAAAGCCAAACCGTAATCCAAAACCGTAGACGAAGGGGAGAGCCGAGAATCCAAGGGAAGCCAGAGAACCAAAATAGAAGAAAGTGAAGAAAGATGTGAAGACGGGGGTTTGAATTTAATCCTTTCTGTAGGGGGCTTAGACTTCTAAGTCACAAGCTGGGGTTTATGGCAGGAAAGGGGGTTAACTGATAAGGATTGCAGATGCAAGCTAGGAACCCCCCTGGGTGTAAT